CATCAGAACAGTCTGTCCTATTCAACCTACACATATACACACTGAAGACCTTACTATGGCATAGGCATTGTGGGCATGGCTTTGCTATCCATATGGCAAAGCCATGCCCAAATTACCCAAATTACTTAAGCTCTCTGAACTTCCCTGGTCTATAAAATAGGTATAACAACTGTATCTATCTTCTATATAAGACAGAATGGAAATAATAATACAATCTAAGTACAATGCAAGGCAGGACTTATAGGGGTACAGGTGAATCTTTCTAAGAGTAGAATGTGAATGTTTTAGAGCAATAACTGAGAAAATGACATGAAGGCTGTGTTGACCAGTTGATGGAAGTATTTCAGATTGCATGTGAAAACCCCACACTGTACCCCAGAAGTGCATTAATGTACATAGTTACCGTTCAATAAAAAAAAGAAAAAAAAATGCAAGGCAGGAGTGATAGCCAAAAGCTAATTATAATTTCCCTAGAAACTACTCAATCTTAAATGTTAGAAAGAAAATATTACTGGGCAGCACCTGTGGCTCAGCAAGTAGGGCACCGGCCCCATATACCAAGGGCGGCAGGTTCAAATCTGGCTCCAGACAAACTGCAACAAAAAAACAGCCAGGTGTTGTGGTGGGAGCTATTAGTCCCAGCTACTCAGGAGGCTGAGGCAAGAGAATTGCCTATGCCCAAGAGTTGGAGGTTGTTTTGAGCTGTGACGCCACAGCACTCTACCAAGAGCAATGAGACTCTGTCTCTAAAAAAAGAAAAGAAAGAAAGAAAGAAAAAAAGAAAGAAAAGAACCTCTTAGACCAGAGGTTCTCACAGTATGGCCTATGGATCTCTGGAGGCCCCTGACACAATGAGACTCTGTCTCTAAAAAAAGAAAAGAAAGAAAGAAAGAAAAAAAGAAAGAAAAGAACCTCTTAGACCAGAGGTTCTCACAGTATGGTCTATGGATCTCTGGAGGTCCCTGACACTTTTTTAGGGGGTCCAAGAGGTCAAAACTATTTTTATAATAGTCATAAGACCACACTTGTCATCTCAGCACTTTGGGAGTCTTAGGGGGAAGGATCACTTGAGCCCAGGAATTTGAGGCTGCAGTAAACCATGATTATATCACTACACTCTAGCCAGGGTAAAAGAGTGTGCCCCAATCTCTAAAAAAAATTATATGACATTATTTGCCTTTTTCACTGGAATGACATTTGACATTTGACGGTGCAAAGGCAATTGTAGGTGAAAACTGCTGGCATCTTAGTATGAATTACAGCAATGGCATCAAATGGTACTAAGAGCAGTGTATTTTTCACTACACATGTATAATTTTTTTAAAAGTCAGTTTCATTTGTCATTGATAAACCAGTAAAAATGATAAATTTTTATTAAATCTCTGCCCTTGAGTGCACATCTTTTTAATATCCTGTGTGGAATGAAACTGCTAGTATATAAAGCACTTGGTCTATATACCTACACAGATGGCTGTCTGACTTGTGAGCTGAACTAGTCGTGGTCCATGGAATACCATCTTTGAAGGAACAACAAATTATTCAGACTTGGCTATTTGGCAGACATTTTCTCAAAAAAGAACTTCATGTGAAACAACTGTCAAAATTTTTTGCTAATAATACAATTCAAGCTTTCAAGTGAAAATCAGAATTTTGGGAAACATGTACATGTATCTGCCACCATGAGCTTGACAGCTTCCCAATGTTTAAAGATTATGAAGAAATTGGTAGTGATACTAACAGATTTTCAATACTGTAAAAATTAAATCTGTCAACATTTGGAAGATCTGCATAACTTAGTGACCCAGTATTTTCTAAATGACTGATGTTATGAGTTAACTCTATGAGTTAAAGATCCAACCAATTAGCAAGATAGACCAATAGATTTTAAGTTAACAGAATACAACATGTTCACCGATAAGATTTCAGATACCACAGTGCAACTAACTGTTAAGAAACTATGACTTGTCAAGTTTTAGAGTAGTATGACATATTCACAATTATCTTTTTTTTTTTTTTTTTTTTTGAGACAGAGCCTCAAGCTGTCCCCCTGGGTAGAGTGCCGTGGCATTACAGCTCACAGCAACCTCCAAC